TTCACTGAAAAAAGTGCATTCTTTTGTAACATTTGCTCTTATAAAATACTGTAGTCCTGCAGCTAGCATGAGGATTTGTGTATTATAATGAAGCAATGATATTGTGGACTGTCAGAAGCCCTCGTGTGCAGTGTGAGCACATGGACGCAGCAGAGCCATGAGCTGGCTGACAGAAGTTTAACCCAACTTCTGCTGCCATATCTCAACAGACAGGCAGCTGGGCTCTCTCTAGTTTGCTGACTGACACGCATACTGTAGTTAGAGGGAAGAAGTGCATCATTCCCTCACACACATACACACTCAAACTAAACATGACAACTCCCTCTGTTGAGAGATAATAACCCACAGTAAATGTATGACGAAGGCATACTATAGCAACGATTCAAAATTATTCATTCAGCAGACGAGGTGAAGAATATCAGGATGGTGAGGGAAGGCAAAAACATGCGTGCACATGCAAACATTTGGAAATAGCCAACATGTAGGCAGAGCCTCGTTCCTCCTGCTTCGCTGCATGCCTCATTCTCCCACAGTGCTCATTCTCTCTGTCTCAGCCCATGTCTCCTTCTCATCCCCTCTCTGGTCCAGTGAATCATTCATTCGTGCTGTGTCTCTTACCTTAGTTGTGACAATGCAAAGACAATCCATGCTGGCCAGACAACAAAAGGAGCGCTCAACCTATGCTCAGATTCATCACCACTAATATTACCACTGGAGGGGAAAAAAGCAGGAAGATGGAGAAAAAAGATACCAGTGTGAAGAAGCGAAGAGGAAAGATAAAAACAGGTAGGGGTTGCTGAAGAAGAATAGGAGGAAGAGGGGGAGGAGAACACACACACACACACACACACACACACACACACACACACACACACACACACACACACACACACACACACACACACACACTCACTCACTCACTCACTCACTCACTCACACGCGCTGGCGAGGGAGAGAAGCCACGGCGGACAGACGTTACTGCATGTGGGCCCCTCGTGAGGATTGGGATGCCTCCTCCACAGCGCTGAAGGCAATCAGGATTCCTAACGCCATCTCAGAGCGGAGCATGCGTCATCAGCCAGAGCACACACACACAAAAACACGTACACTAAAAACGCTTAGCAGCTGGCCTGGCCTCCACCAACAAGCCAAAATCATTCCTTAGCTTCTCTCCCTCTCATTCATCCTCTGTTTCTTGTTTTCAGTTCATCCTTTCCTCCTCCTCCTCCTCCTCCTCCTCCTCCTCCTCCTCCTCCTCTCTCTCTCTCCTGTCTCTGGGCTGAGCGACTAGGCAGTGTTATAGGATGAGAGCAAGAGAGCGAGGGAAGAGAGTGAAGGATGCGAGCATCAGCTCAGCAGAATGAATTAGATTCCCATGCTCTCTGTCTCGCTGGCTAATAGCTGCTGTGGCAGACTGCTGGAACTTAATAATAACACACTGGCTTTAATTTCATCTGCAGAACACTGCCTTTCACTGACTGCGTGACAGACTTTCTACTTTGTGTGTGTGTGTGTGTGTGTGTGTGTGTGTGTGTGTGTGTGTGTGTGTGTGCTGTGTGTGTGTCTGTGTGTGTGTGTGTGTGTGTGTGTGTGTGTGTGTGTGTGTGTGTGTGATTTGACCAGTATGGTATTTTAAGGATGTCGGATGTTGGAATTGGGATTTAAAGCAATAATTGCCCATAATATATGGTGCCAAAAATATCTATTACAAATAACAGTTCAGTTTAAGGTTTTCCAATAAATAAGCAACAAACTAGTAACCAGTTCCACCAAAAATAATGACACAACAAACGACTTCCATCACATTTAATCTGGACTACCTTTAAGCAGATGTTTGATCAATATCGCCTCAGCTCTCGAACTCTGAGAGTGGCTGCTTTAACGTTGCTGCATCATCAGTCTTACCATAGTGTTTATGCACCAAAAATACACAAAGACTGCAATGCACTGCTGATGATGGCATTAATGATACAATGAAAACAAAAACCACTGAACTGCTTAGTTAACAGCTACTTATGTAACAGTGACAGGTCTTTGTGGCAATTTCTCTAATAAACTGGCATCAATGCTAACATTCAGTTTGGTTCATAACTTCCAGAAAAATGTAGATGCCAATCAGATAGCTCAAACAAAGGGTTGGTATGAGTATGAGTGCATGTATACAATCTTTGATGGCCATCCAAACATGCTGCAATTTGAAAAGTGATCAAAAACATTTGCTCTGACAACAAGAAGTTTGTTTTCAACACCAAAAAGGAAGAAGTGCAATTCAAAGAGTTTCACCGCACTGCAGTGAAACCCCAGCGGCAGGCTTTTTCACTGTCACCCACAACCACAGTTTCAACTACTCGTCTCCAGATGTGTATTGTCATCACAAAGCGACGGAAACACTTTTAATTCAACAGATAGACTTGCAAACTGCATAGGTTCATACGTGCATACATCTACAATTATTTCATGAGACAATAAAAAAATATAAAACAGCAAAGTTCCACATGGAATTGGTGTCAAACGTTTCCACAAAACAAATCACAGACACATCATAAGAATATGTTACAGCAGTCCAGGAACGGTTATGTAAAAGAACTGAAAAATTCTCTGTGTTGTTAAAAGGTAAAACAGACCTAATCTTAGCAGTGATCCTAAATGCATAAAAATACATCTTACGCAACTGGATTCAAGGAATAAACATGAAACAAAGCTGTGCTGTTGCTAATTTTCATCATTAATATTAAATTATTAATTGTTTTATTTTAGTTTTACGAGTTCTTAATCAATTTCACTGTGAATTAATTCATTATATTTTTTACAAGTAGCATAAAGGGAACTAGGATCTGACTTTCATTCTACAACCCTGCATTTTAAATGACAATTAAATAACCTTGAATCCCTAAATATTGTGTCAGCTTGAACTTGACAGCCATACTACCACCTCCATGGTGAGAAAACAACAACATCTTCATAATTCTTCTTATTCCCACCAGGTCTAATCAGCCAGAGCAAAGCAGTTGTGTGACAGCAACACAACTCCCCATGCACAGCCAATAGTTGCAATCAGAATAGAATAGAGTAGAATCAACTTTATTTTCACATCACATCAGTCTTCTGCATTTAAGCCAACCTATGTACCAAGAGCAGTGGGCAGCCACTGAACCAGTGGCAACCAGAACACCACACAGGGAACAGAAAGGTCCTGCCCCAGCCGGGAATCAAACCCAGGACCCTTCTTGCAGAGACGATAGTGCTAACCACAGAGCCACCAGTGAGATCCCTGCTCCCAGGCTGACTTAGCCACAGCGATGTTCAAACCTTCCCCCTCTTGAGACTCTAGGTTTCTGAACAAGAGCACAATTCCCCCACATAAACCGCCCTTGTACCTGTTTGCTGGAGGCATCCTGATGATGAGGTGTGTTGCAGAATTTGACCTTGATTACTGCTTTCATTTGTGGATGAAGCAGTGCCCCTCACTCCCCAGCGTCCCGTTGTTGTTCCTGAACACATTGACCAGCTCTGACTCCCTCTGCCAGAGCAATAGGGCTAATCTTTTCAGGTGATGCGGCTCAGGCAGCCTCGACTTATTGCATTAGAGAGAAGGAATGCTTTAACCTTGTTTGTTAGGGCTGCCGATGGTATATACAGACTAGGTGTGACAAATTTGGATTTGTCTATGCATGTTAACAACAGTGGTTGACAGTGCGCTAACAGCTTACTGGTCAGATTTACAGAGCCTGCTGTACTCTCTGACCTTGAAGCTGGCCTGGAGCTGACCCCAACACATTCTCTTAAGTCATTTCCTGACATGGAAATGGAATGAAAAGTCATCAAATCTGCTCTCTCGGGTTGTCTTTAAATTCAGAACAGGATTACAATAGAATATTTTAAATGTAACTAAATAGAACAGTGGTGTTCACAACAGCAAAGTCTCCATATAATAATAATATGTCACTGGAGACAAATCTAAAATAAAAAAAAGAAATAATATTCCTGACATCCAAATACTGAGGGAAGTTTAGAATATTAGCATCAGTCATTCATCCTGTCCTTTGTCCTCCTCTGATGTGAGTCTCTGCCTGGTAGAGGAAGGAGGGGCAGCTCACTTTACACAAACTAGACCATTTTTAAGATACATTGCAAACCAAGCTAAAGACAGCTTTTGTTCTAGCATGGAACAACGCTATTGGAACTAGTGTACTGTGCATGTTTATTGTTAAAACATAGCGGAGGTGGATGAGAGACTGCAGACAGAGCAGTACAAAATATTGTGAGTTTAAATGTTTATGCTTGTGGAACAGCTGTATTAATTAAGTGTGGGCTTTTTACTCACAAAGGTTATTGCACTTACAGTAACGAGGGTAGTTGTTGCCAACTCAAGTCATTTTTCGAATTTTCATTTAAGTGTTTCCATCATGGCCTCTGAGAGGCTGCAAGGTGAAGATTTTACCATTATCCACTGAGAAAAACAGAAATTGTGCACATATAGAAACTGCACTCTGATTCTGGCTTATACATATTAATCTGCAATTAACTCACCTAAGATTCCCCAATGTCAGCTAACTTAATTAGCACAGAAAATATTTCATTTATTTATTAAATAAAGCCGCTCTGCTCTTCCTTCACTTCATATCCTCTACTGCTCTCAAGCAAATAGGAGCTAACACGAAACAACCACATCTCCCTACCTTGCTTGAACATACAGTCATTTACTTTTGTGAGCTCATTGTTGTTGAAGCGACAAATCGCTTCTTGAGGAACTACATCTGGGAAAAGATGTGTTGGGCCGTGTTACGTCACAGTGTTCTACCGTGCCACAAGTGATGATGAGGTAAAATTAAAAAATCTGACCACAGAATGAAATGGAGCAAAATTGATGCTGATAACAAAAACACATTGGGTAACTTGGTGTGATGTACAGTCCCACATTAATAAAAGAGCCCAAACGTAATGCAAGACATACACATGCACACACACAGATAGAACGTATTGCTTCCAGAGATACTTACCACAGAGGTCTTGGTGCTCTCTCCCTGCTCCAACCCACTGGGTTCTGAGCTGCTCTGCTCCCTCTGCTGGGAACAACAAACAGGTGCATAAGTAACCTGAAGGTACCTGTACATACAGCCAATTCAAAGACTCAGTCTGTCAGATAATATCTTATAGCCAGAGCATTGTGGATACCATGAGGTATTAGAGGTTTAAGACACTATAAAATACATAGATCTTTTCTGACATGTCAAAGGCGTTGACTCTGCACATGGTAAATAAATCTCAAATGGAATCTGAAATGTTGACAAGCAATAAAAATGCATGTAACATTTCTTTTAGATGTATAACAACAACAGGATGCAGTTGTAAGGGTTATGCAAGAATTGGCAGTGACAGAGAGATGGAGTCATCATCAGCTGGCCATTCTGTCTGCTGCTTTGGTAAGTCTTTAATTAGAAGCTGAGATAGCGTAAGCCTATATGTGCCTGTGGCAACCAAAAATAAATGCCTGGCACACTAAGATGTACTACAAACCCTTAGTACACGCAGGCTTGCTTTAGCCTTCTCTCTGTTTATAGCAGCAGGCCCTTCTGACTTCAGATACAACTTTTGTTGTTGATTTATTCAATTTAACAAGTAAAGATTTTATAATATTAAGATAAAAACTGGGCCCCATTGCATGCTGGAAGTGATATAATGACACTGATAATCAATCTTGTTTATCCTACATAATATATGTGTTGTAACATGCCTAATGCTGTTAGACTGCTCACAAGATCTACTGCTAAATCCGCCAAACTGAACAGGCAGAATATCAAATCTACACCTTAACATTATATAAAACAACATTTAAATGTGACACCTCATGAACTAAAAAAAAATAGCTTACAGTTATTCACTAATTCATTCTTTTTTTGATTATCTTTTGGGCAATTTATGCAGTGGACCTTGTGGAAAGATGACAGGAAATGAGGGAAAGAGATGCATTAAGCTCCCACCTAGGATCTGAACCGGGTACATTGCGGTTCATGGTTGGTGCCTTGATGCCCAAAGCAACAGGGGTGTCCACACTTATTCACTCATGGCAAACCTACTGTATCTGGCCCCAGGTGGCAATTAGGAGAGTAAATAATGTCCACAGATTATTAACCCAAGATTATACAGTGCCTGTCTGCTACACTGCTGAAGTGCAGGGAGCCTCTTGTGTATGACACTAGTAGAAAAACATCCAGTGTGTAACATTTAGGAGGATCTATTGTCAGAAATGGAATATAATATTCATAGATATATTTTCATTAGTGTATAATCTGAATATAAGAATCTTACAATGAACTTTTTTTATCTATCTCTATGTTGAACTGCCATGTTTCTACAGTAGCCCGGAGAGGGCCAGGCTAAACACAGACTGTAGACGGTTTCTCCTACACTTCACAGCCTTTTCTCATTCCCAGGTTGTCATCAGACACGAGTGCTTTTCAGTTAATTGAAATGTGCAACTAGATCTGCTGCTAGATGCAACTACATCTTATACACTGCTCTTTTAATACTGAACCAAACTATTGATTACTTCAGTGCTTTTGTTTTTACTTTCCAACAAACATGCTACAAACTGCAAACAATTTGTTAGTTGTTCATATATTTGCAGAACCCCTACGGACCCTGTCAGTTGATTTGGATGGGACCATCTGCCATATTTGACAAGACATTTGCGTAATCTTCAGAGGGTTGATTGCGATAGCAGAAAAGGGAATATAACAGCAGTGTACTGATGACCTCATGGTGGGGTCATCAGTCTCTGAGGACTCTTCTAATCCCCTTCACTTATCCCTATCCTGGTACTACTGGATGACCTGAGCAAAGTGGTTCAGTGGCTCCTGCTGTTACTTTGAAAGCTATAAAGACCCTGACATGATATATTTGGAAATGTATATTCATGCCCCTTCTAACAAATTCTTTACCGTTACTGCAGAAAAACGGCAGGTGTGACGCACAAGGTTTGACTACTTAGACAAATAGGATTACTAGTAGATTACCAAACTGGTTGGTCCCATTCCAAGCCAAACATGCTATTAGTAACACGGCTGGTGTGTGCAGACCCACAGCTCTATAATTTCACACTGACCTAGGGTCTGCTTTAACCAACAACAAACACAAAAGCAGCATCACACAAGGAATAATTATTACAGCCTCTTTCAAGTTTATGTGCAAAGCTCAAATAGTACTGAACTACATTTCAACTGACATTCTTTTATGTAATGATGTTTCTCTACTTTTAAAAGACCCAGGGTCTGTAACAACAGTTACATTCAGCTCAACAATATTAGAAAAGACATTAAAGCTAGCAGAAATCTACAATGTGTTCCAAATTATTATGCAAATATGATTTTAATTAAAGAAACATTAGATTTTTTGTTTTCCAATGAAAGTTTTCAATTGTGCTGCTTCCCATGTCTGTTTATATCACTGACATCAGTCTCAGACAGGTTTTTCTTTATTAGTTTGCCAGGTGAGCCTAATTAAGGGGAAACTACTTAAGGATGTTGTTCCACATTATAAAGCAAGTCACAGGTTTCATGCAATATAGGGGGGAAAAAGATCTTTCTGCAGATGAAAAGCTTGAAATAGTGCAGTATCTTTCCATAGGTATGAAACTAGTGGATATTTTATGAAATATTAAGAGAGATCATAGTCCTGTGAAAAGATTTCGGTCTCATTCAAAGCGCAGACGGGTTCGTTCAGATAAAGGCGTGTTTAGGAAAGTTTCTGTAAGGCTAATTTATCATATTAAGTGAGCAGCTGTGAAAAAGCCACTGATGAGTAGTAAAAAAGGTATTTTAAGTTGCTGGTGACTCTTGAGTCCCAAGGCCCTCTCGATGCAGGATCCTCCAGAGAAGCATAAAGCTGTATTTCGGCCACCCTTAAACAATGCCCACAAGGAGACATGATTGCAGTGGGCTCAGAAATACATGAAGACTAATTGTCTAACAGTTTTATTCACTGATGTATGCTGTGCTACACTGGATGGTCCAGATGGATGGAGTTCTGGATGGCCACCATGTCCCAACAAGGCTGCGACGTCAGAAAGGAGTGGTGGAGTGATGTCTTGGGCTGGAATCATGGGAAGTGAGTTGATAGGCCCCTTTAAGGTGCCTGAAGGTGTCAAAATGAAATCTGCAAAATATGTGGAGTTCCTAACTGCCCATTTCCTGCCATGGTATAAAAAGAAGAACCATGCCTTCCGGAGTAAAATCATTTTCATGTAAGATAACACATCATCCCATGCTGCAACAAATACCATTGAGGCCTAGGCTGCTATGGGCATTAAGGGAGAAAGAATCACGGTGTGGCCACCATCATCTCCTGACCTCAACCCTATGGAGAACCTGTGGAGCATCCTTAAAAGGAAGCTCTATGAGGGTGGGTGGCAGTTTACCTCAAAACAGCAGCTCTGGAAGGCAATTCTGGCATCCTCAAAGGAAATACAGGCAGAAACTGTACATGGACTTACAAGTTCAATGGATGAGAGAGTTGCCAATGTGACATCAAAGAAGGGCTCCTATGTTAATATCTAACTTGTTCTGTAAAGATGTTTTTGATTGAAATAGCTTTAATTTGAGAAAGATTACACCCTAACGCAAAAAATACAACAGATTTCTGTTTTCAATCCTTTAGAAACTGTTTTGAAACTCTGTTTTGCATAATAATTTGGAACACTGCATTTTGGGTTATTTTGAAAAAAAATGTCATTGTCATCATTGGTAACTGTGTTTAATAAAACCCAGATTACGATATAATTGTTGAGGAATAAAAAATCCTATTGTCTGCCAATTACATCGACTATTTAGTAAGAAAAAGAACAAAAACAGTATATGCGTAATCATTTGGAACACAGTATATTCTACACACTTCATTCAACTATATTTAATTCCTTCATTTTATTTTTGCCATTTTAATAGTTTTTAATTATGAGGGATTGACAACAAAGCTGGACTTGCCAATACTGACTCAGACAGAATAAGGTTGGTGTAAAATTGTATTGCACTGTTATATATTTTTACTTTAAAGCTGCAGTAAAGGTGGGCGATATATATCGTTTGCGATAATATCGTCATTGTTGTTTGACAATGTGCAAATTTCCATTATCGAGTATTTAAATTACTTCGCCAAAAATATTGAAACGCACGTGGAAACTCCTCACATCCACTTAATACACGGTGCAGCAACGCTCTCTACAGCATGGCAGGATTCAGTCACACGACTAGTGGGCCTACGTGATCACATGACGTGATCACATGACCTCTCGCTAGCATCCTCCTTGCAACAGTTTAGCAGCGCGTTGTGATGGTAGAGAGAAAATGCAAACACCTCCAGTCCCTGAAGCTACCGGTACTTCAGATGATTTAGTGCCGAGACGTGGGTCTACCTCTCTGGCATGGAAATGGTTTGGTTTTGAAAATATTTTTTAGCGCAGCGCTCAGAGCGCTTCAAGTTGAAATCTGTTCAACTTTTAACACCGTTGGGCGCTCAGAAAATGAGTTTTTTAGCGCTCAGCGCTAAAAACGCGTTTGGTGGACACAAGCCCTAACTCAGACAATTCCAATCACATTTGAAAGGATATCGACTGAGTATCGCTATCGCCAAAATCCCCAAAAATAACGGTAAGGTAACTTTCACTATATCCTGATAGTAGTACATGAGACAGATAATCTGTGAAATATCTGGTTCCTCTGGCTCATCCACCGGGCCAGAACGAAAACAACCAATGGGGGCCAAGAAGGATAGTTGATTGTTGAATCTCATTTCCAGGTCGTCAAATACTCAATAATCAACAAGCGTCCAACCCAAAGCGTCTTTATATCTTTCTCAGCCCTGTTTGGTTGTTTTCATTCAGGCTTTTTCACAGATTATCTCTTTCTCTCTCTCTCTCTCTCTCTCTCTCTCTCTCTCTCTCTCTCTCTGTCTCTTTCTCTGTCTCTCTCTCTCTCTCTCATTTGTTCTTTCACACTGTAAATAGTAGTCTCCGTCCTGTCTGTGCCTGTGCATGCTTGGGATTTCTCATGTTCAAATGTAGTTGATGAAGGCTTGTGGTATGGATTCACAATTAATCGTAATAATATCGAAAGTGCAATGTAAATAATACGATTTTTTTTTGCCACATAGGGGCAGTGTAAAAAATTAGTGAACACAACACTGACATATAATCTTTTAAATTGAAATGGTGAACTTGGTAGCAATCAGTTGCTCATTTCCACATCCACCACTTACAGAGCAACATTATCATTCATTTGGAGTTGTGTTTCCACCTAATTAATGTAAGTTCAATATTCACTCTCTTTTAGCTCTGTTTGTGGTCTCTACCACCTCCTGAGGGGGACATCCAACTTCTAAATGCTCCACTCCCCAGCTAGTAGTAGCCTGTGTCTGCTGCTGAGCAGACAGTGTACAGTGTGTTTAACAGAGCTTTTCCTATGATAACAGCTAGACTTATGTTTATATTGTGCTCACACACCTACACCTCTGTCTCACACACCGGCTTGCCCCACCTCTCTCTGCTCCTCTCTCCATATACAGGCTGTATGTGTCTGCTCCATTACTTTTTCACAACAGCAGGTGAGCTGCGCATTAACGAGGAGTGTCATTAATGAAGTCGCGGAAAACAACACTTACTCTACTTGCTCTCTTTGTTTCTCTGCAAAATACTAAAACGAGTCCCTGTGTCGTTAATATACAGGCCCGCCCAAGTTGAGCTGAAACTAACTATACAGCTCTGTAAAGTCAAGGAGATCCTAATGGCATTTGCAAGAATCCACCGGGCCTGGACAAAAACAACCAATCAGAGCCGAGAAAGGCGCTCTGGGTTGGTGTCCGTATTTGACACAAAAATCTAAACATTAAAGATTTTTTACCTCGCTAGAAAAGCTGGTGGACTACAATTTGCAAAAAGGCGACAGTATTCTGTATAAATATTACATGAATACACTTTCCAGGAAGACGCCATCTTTATATTCAACCCTTGTTCATGACTTTAGAGTGGCTTTCTTACAATTCATGTGCCACGACTGAACAAACTTCATTGTGTTACTCATCAAACCGGAAGAGATGAGACTGGTTTGTTTACAAGGTTTAACCTTAAGGGGAGCAAATGGTTGCTTCTCAACTAAAACTGAACAAACACAAAACCAAACAAGTTCCAAACAACCAACGACACTGTGCCTTTTTTGGGGACGAGCTCATCCTGGCTTGCTGCCATGTTGTGTTTATCTGTGGAGAGGCGGGGGGAGGGGTCAGCGCACTCTGACCTGCGGGAGCCCAAAGGGAGCGCAGGTGTTGTGGGAGTTCAAGAGAAAACCGATTTTAACTAAAAATAAATCGTGTTTTACTACAAATTTGAATTAATTGATAAAATCGATTTATCGCCCAGCCCTACATCAAACCTAAGGACCATTTTGAATGCCAGCTAGTTAGCATTTAACACACAGGGCAATGTGACAATAGGTTTGTCTTGAGCCATCCTGTATAGGATGTTCAGTTCGGTAAGTGAACCTTAATTCACTATGCGCTGCAACCCAAACAATTACTGTCAAAGGAGCCTACTAAAGTCAACAACTTGCATTCGTGGAACAGAAATTCAAGATTTTTTCCCAGAAGCTTTTGGCAGTGCACCAGTTGTTGTCCATCAGCTGTAGCATGCTAGTCGGCTTAGTTGGGTTAGTCAAGCTCAATGAGCAGGAATTAGTGTCATACTAATGCAAATCTTGTTCAACTGTCAGGTTCCCACTCTTTTTAACAAATCATTTTCCAGGACCTTTCCAGGACATTTTCCAGGTGCTTTTCTTGATAATACAGGACAGAACTTGCTTACAAATGGTCATATAAGCTGCTGTTTCAGGCAAATTGACTGCGTTAATTGGCCACTGCCCATAAGTAACAGTTTAAATCAACTAGAATTTATTTTATTTTACAGAAAATGAATCTTCTAAAAAGTTAGTGTTCATTGCACGTATGATCAAACTGAAATTGAAACAAACTGAAGAAATGTGATGCTGTTTGCATGGAGACATGAGAATATCTGGAAAAAATAGACTTGATTATAGTGTATTAACTTTTGAGCTACTGTTAAATGTTTACATTTCTCAAAATAAATGATAGAATTTTTTTCAATAATGTCTTTCATTAGACTCTCCCTCCCCTGCCTTCTAAATGCCCACTTCTACAACAGGAACACAATACACATTTTACAACTGTTACAGACTGTAGTTCTCCTCTTGACAAGTAATCTGAACTTCCTGTGTAAAACTTCTGCATGGCACCTTTAAAGACATTTCCACATTAAAATGTCTACAAACGCTTGACCTATGTGTTATATATTTAGCAGTTAATTACATTATCCCAAATGTTTCCAACAATGGTCAAACCCAGAGAAATATGTCATTTTATTCAGGTAATGGTACATTTCCTACTTGCCTCTAGTCGCTATCACTTCTGGGTAAACACAGGCAATGTCTGGTAAGTCAGAGAGTGAAGACGGAAGTAGGCCAACAAGACTTTACATAACATAAACAAAACTTTAGTATCACCTCTTCCATGAGCAATTTCTGTCCAAGTCAGGTCGGATAGATTTTCAGTGGCAATGGTGGTTGTTTAACAATGAAGCCAACAACTCCCATGATCCCAAGCTTCTTCACAATGTTGTCTTTTGTTTATTTTTTGACGTGAGAGACCCGCTAGCAGCAGAAATGAAATACTGTACCTTTAAAGTAATGAGGAGCTACAGTATTTTCACAATAATCAGTTTTACTCATTAATATGCAAATGGAAATCTTCATCTCACATGACTTAAAATGCTACATTTAAATGAACTACTTTTGGCAGGACACTGTATGTCAAGCATCACATTATTCTGCTCAGCTCACCACAACCAGCACATATCCCTACAGTGACGTGGCACTCTATTTAAAGGCTATGACCCTCATATTTGGCATGTCTGCTGATTCATACCTTGCTGCTGTTACTGCTGCTGCTGCTGTCTGCAAGAAAAGTCTCCACCTCAGCCTCCACCTGCTTTACTCCTGCATTTTTTGAATGGCTACAGCAGACAACCTAGTCATACAGAGGTAATTCTTCAGTGCATTCATGTCTGAGGTTTTGCTGGGCTCAAACACTGTGTCAGAGACTCACCTCCTCTGCTGGGCAGGCAGTGTGTGCAAGCTCAGAGTTTTGTACAGAGACACTCTTCTCCCACTTGTCCGCCATGTGGTTGACCTCCTCCAGCTTCTGCTCGCAGCTTTTCTGCGTGTTTAGCAGTGTCACTTCATAGAACTCCTGGATATCTGTGGAAATACATATTACATGACTCAGGTGCTGGTTAACTGCTTCAACAACAATAACCTAAATCTGCAGCTGTAACAACTGTACAATTCATGCAAGATTTCATCAAATGATTGAACTGAGATCCTCACAGTTCAATATCAATATCTCTGCCTTAGGTTAGGTTCTGCATATAGGTTGACATACCATAAGAAAATGTGTATTTTCAAGTTTGCTTGTGAGAACTATTTTCACGAAAACAGCTAAGTTTCTTACACAAATGACTGCAGTAAAGGTCATGTAAAGGTCATAAAGCCCTCTGCCTCCATGTTACCAAATGGGCCATGGGCCAAACTGGAAAATCAAAGTACACGTCAAATAAATTTTTCTCAAAAGATGGTTTTAGGTAGTTCTTATCACGCTATACTGTGGATTTCAGGGGAGGTGACTTACAGTATGCTGCCTACAAAAATGCATAATGGCAAGATATGCTGCACAGACATATTGCGCAACCACGCTTCCATGGTGATGGAAAGAATAGCATGTATTATTATATCATAAAGTATTATTATATTATTAATAAAATTAATTAGAGATGAATCACTCTCATGCATGAATCACACATCAATTAATAGGCTAATTTTATGTATGATCCATGATGATGAAGATACAGCAAGACAGAAATTCATGGCAAAAATAGCGTATTGTCAATAATTTAGAGACCCCCCAACATTTTACAAATCATGTTTTTAGAGGAGCCCATGTCTAATTTAGAGGAGCCAAGCTCACCCTGTGTAGTTTGCACCCTGGTTTAAGTGTTGATTTTCCTGATCAGTTTGATTTTAATGAGGTATTTGCAGCTATGAAAAAAAGAAGGGGTTTCACATCATGACTGACAGCTGAGCCCTGCTTGTGATTGAGTCAGCCGGGCGTATGGATGGGACCAAGATACTGCGGCACCAACCCCAATTACTACTGCACAGACTCAGTGGCTCAGAGTGGTGAAAGATGGCAGTGGCCGTATCCAGCATGTCCATCCTTTATATGTCGATGTATATGATGTAATTATGAAGTTATTTCAGGTTGTGAGGCAGACATTACTGCAGTAACCGTATCTTTATACTTAACAAAAGGATAACCAGCAATATTTTACCAATCATAGCAGTCCTCCAAATTTTGACTTTCTTCTTCTTTTCTTCTTTTATTTAATTGAAAATGGCTAAAAACATTGCAACCCAGTTTGCAATTTTTTTTAGAAAAGCTCCCATTGAATTAGGCATTTGCTCAGGCTGCAACACTCCCAAAAAACAAAAAAAATCAGCATTGGTAATTGGTTGAGTCTCATTCCCAGCGTCTGAATTTGACGACCTGGGAATGAGAACCAACACTCAATTATCTTTCTTGGCTCTGATTGGTTGTTTTTAATCAGCTGCAGTGGATTATGGCCATGAGGAGCAGACTAACCTGATTTTGTTCACAGATTATCTGTCTTATGTACTACTGTCAGGATATAGTGAAAGTTTCAGCAAATATGACAAAAAGATATTTTCCTAAATGTTACCTACTGCAACTCTAAGGTTCATAGCAGATCAGCTTGACTGGGTAAGAAAATATGTCAAGTGCAATATATGTACCAAACTGCAAGTATCCTTTCCAACTGTAGTTAAACAGACTGAAAATGAATATTTTTTTCATTTAGCCTGAACTTATGACCGTATTGGTGCAAACACTGAATGTCAGTATAAGTCACTCTATCAGAGTGCTCTATTAGCCTCACTGCACAGGAATCTTCTGGATGGATTCAACATGTTTGGTGCATCATTGCAACATCTACCAAAAAGCATTTGCATTGTATGACTCAAGTGAGCTTTTTGTTTGGCATTCATTCCAAATGCTAGTGTTTTCCAAATGCAGACACATTTTTTGAATGGCTAGCCATGTTTTACCAAAGAACTAGACCCATAACAAGTGATCTGCCACGCCAGTCCAATGCCTAGGCTCTGCAAATAAAAGACACATTTACATTTAAAAAGATCTTAATAAAAACAAACTATTAGCATTCACCACCAGACACCAGATCATGTTTCTGTCCCTATCATAAACAAATGATTGAGTGCATTCTGTTTTTAGAAACAGGAAATAAATAAATATTGATGTAGATTTTGTAAAAATAAAAAAAGACTTCTTTCTTTTTGTAATTCAAATGAAAACAGGGTATCAGGGATGCAAATGAAAACGGCAAAATTTATGCAAATCCCCAAAAGCTCTTGAATGGTTGCTGTACAGCAGGTTGGGTATATGTGTAAGACTCTACTTGGTACAAAACCAGTTGTTAGCTCTCACTCATTTCATTACTATGAAAGAATAAAGATATGGAGTAAAATTATATATAATGTTTGTAACAGAGCACATGGCACTAATGTTTTCAAAAGAAGTTTGTTTTTACAAAAGTAAAAAGAATTATGTTTCACTGTAAGGAATACAAATTTTAATTACGAAAGAAAAGATCTAACTGGACATCCATCAGCATCAGCATGTCGATCCGACCAGCACTGACAGCTCAAATACTCCGCTCTCTATTCTGCATTACACTGCAAAACTATAAGCAAAAGCTATTTTAAACAGAACTCATATGGAGAAAAAAAAGATTCAAACACAGCAGCAGAAAGTTGTCAAGGGTAACTCACAGTGCAGTAAAAGCTCCCTGCTCTCTCCGGTCATGTTGCAGCGCTGCTACACTGTGAAAACTGTGCGCTGTGAGAGGACCAGATGCCTGGTGAAGAGCTAACAGCGAGCCTAATCCTCAGACACAGAGGCCGCCTGTTCCCTTCAATACAGACAATGACCTTACACCCCGCATAGCTGATTTCTAATTCAGCTCTCTTCTGGGTAATGTGCTTAACACAGCCAGCAGTCCTTTCCAACTCTCCCCTTAATGAACAAAACCCCACTTCTCCCATCACCAGATGAAGTGGCTCAACACTCGTCAACAACCAGGCACCCAAATATCTACATAGCCTGCTTTTTTTTTCTTCATTTTGTGTACAGGTTTAGTGTCAGGCAATGATACAAAAATAGTGAGTTCCAGCTCTGGAAAGATCCATTCACTCTTTGTGCTGATGAGCTGTTTTAAAGATGCCAACTGACACAGTATTTAAGGTTCATGGCAGAGAACTAGTGCAGGGTATGCATGTGTCTAATACAATGGGTCCTGCAGGGAGTCTCCACTGACAGTGATTTTGAAATACCCTGTAGACCACTGGTTCCCAATCTGGCAGTTGGGACCCCTACTATGGGTTGCCAAAGTTTAATCGAAAAGATCCAACACTGAGGCTACAGTGTACTGTCATTGCAGCGTAAAGGTGCTACGCAACTGCACATCAAACATTTAGAGTCAGCCCCATGCTACTAGCTGTAGTATGTTACTTCAGTACAGCTCTCTAACACGTACAGCTTCTGTCCTTTAAGCTGCATTCACAATGTAGCCAATATATTTTTTCTTTATAAAATGGAAGAAGAAAAAAAAAGAGTGAAAAGCACCCACCACCAAGTTCCCAGAAACCAATGTGACACCATCCACTTGCTTGTTTCATCCGCCCCAAGATATTCAGTTTAAAATGATATCAAACAGAGAAAAGCAGCGAATGCTCACATTTGTGAATCTTGCACTGGAATAACTGGAATTTGTTCTTTATGAAGGACTTAAATGGGGACTCTATTATCAAAATCAAGATTAATTTTCAGTCTGTTGCCTTATTACTGAATTAATTATTTTGGCACAGGCCATCAACAAGACATTAAGATCAGCCTAATGATTCATTTTATTTGAATTAAAACAGTATTTTATTTTTCTGTGCGTCTTCATTTATATTTATATTTGTTATTTTAATGTGTGAGAAAAAAGCACTTACATTTTTTTTGTTTAATATCCAACAAGTACCTTGATTTCTATTGCAAATGAAAATGAAATCATCATACTCCATGACCGATAAAACGGTCATTAGGAGAAAGATGGAATTGATTATCTCATTTATTTATCTTATACATTTTCTAAGCTTACCATATAATGTGTTTCTTTGTTTATTTCTTGTTTTATACTTGTATATTGTTATATAGTGTAATTCCTGTTCTAACTGGTTGCACTGTACAGCCCTTTGTAACTTTGGTTTTGAAAGGCACTTTATAAAGTTTTATTATAAGTATTATAAGTATTATTATTATTATCATTATTATTATTATTATCATCATCATTATTATGTGGATTTCAGTGATGACGTAGTTATAATTAAAGAAATTCAACTTTTGTGGATAAGGTCTGTCTGCTGGTATAATGTCGGAAGTGACACTCCGCCTGCGATTGCTGTCCATCTGAGATTATCTTCCATTACAAAGACTGCATTAGGATAAATTATGACAAGCACTGAGTATTCAGTTTTGCCAAGAGACATCATGTGGAGTCAACTGTTACATTGGTCACCAATTTAAACACATTCCAAATTAAACATTGTAAACAATTTAAACAGTGTGAAGCTGTCATTTATACATGTATTTTCCTCTGAATTTTTAGCTTCGGGCTCAAGCATTCACTAACACTACAGTCGAGTTTTGGTCCAGCTAGTAAAATGTTAATGTAGGTCAAAATGAGATCAATGTATAGACCGGAAAATCAACAAGTTATATAACAAAATAAAAGAATGTTGGCTAAAATATTTAATCATGTAATTATACTTTAACAGTGGAAGTATCTGTTAAGCCCCTGGCATTATCTGTTAATCCATAGGCTTTAACAGAAAATATAATAACAAAATCCCAATCTGGTGAGTATTTTTGTCAGCGGGGCTACATGTATTGTGATGGCATGCATTCTGCTCCTCAGCACACACATGCAATACCACTCAGCCGTGCTCTGCATATTACTATTTGCGATCGAATATTAGGTGGAAAATCAGATAAAGATTGAGTTTATCGTTTTATTAAATGATTTAAGTAATATTTATTTTAATACTTAATACAATAAAAAGAA